AAGTTCGAGGAGCAAGTTTCTGTGAAGGAGATTGTAATATTTCTGTTAATGAGTTTTGAATGAAGATTACGAGAAAAGAACACGATAAGTATATATTTTTTTAGAAGGAGTGGTTTTATATATTGGATATTTTGTGAAAATTGTCTTACTCGATGGTTGGGATTAGATGTAAATTTTTTAAAGATATCGATTTTTACTATGTTAAGTATTCTGTGAGTAAGTTCTATATTCTGTGTTACGTAGTTTCGTATCACGAGTATATTAAAAAACTTAAAATTCGACTAATATTCGATAAATTGAGGGCTTTTTCTTTGAACTTATCTTATCATGATTTTTTTAGAATAATTTTTGTTTATTTATATATTAATATAAATTTTATTATATAATAATAAAAAAAAATGACACAGATCAATATGTTCATTTTGGAAAGTATCAGTTGTAAGATTATATGGTTGCCTAAATATCCAAATTAATCGAAATTACTCTAACATAAAAGCAACATCGTATATTATATCAACAAAATTCATAAAAAGTTACAAAATTGTTTGTTATAATATATTCATTTTGAAGTATAATAAGAATTTTGAAATAATATATTGAAATATACTCTCAAAATTTAAAATATTGCAATTCCATTTTCTTCCTTTCCATAAGATAGCATTAAATATTTATAGCAAGGCTAGTATATCTCTACGTTACGTAATAAAAAAAGGATAAAAGAATGTCTAGATGACGTAACTATAAAGAAGTCTCCATATATCTCAAGATATAAAATATAATTATACGAATTTTTGTATTTATAAAAGCTTTTTTATATTTTTAATAAAAACAAATTTCTTATGTGAAATACTTGATTCTAAAAATCGACAAAATTAAATTAATAATCGACCCAGACATTTAGATTTACATTGCGTCAACAAATGATCTAATGGTTATCGATAATGAGCGGATGTTTTGTACATACTATCACTTGCCAAAAAGTTGTTGGCACTTTTGCAACCGCTATCAGTGAAACATTAAAGTGTTACTTGTGCTATTACGAATTACAACGAAAGATTCTATTTCTTTCGATGATGAGATCGATAATTCACGTTATTTCTTTTTCTTTACTCTCATTTTCAGATAAAAGAAGAAAAGTGAGAGACGTCATCATCATCAACGAGATATCTAAATGCATTTCCAAGAGGAAAAACAAAGAAGACGCCTATGCGACGCTAATCGTCTCAAGAATTATTGATTAAAACGAGAAATTTAATATTGAAAGAATAAAATTAAATTGTGATAAATATTTGATAAAACTATTACTATAACCTCTTTAATGTTATTAACGATTCAATTAAAAATGATGCTCTCTTCTTAACATCTTCAATTATCCATATTATATCTTCTGGTATAATAAAAATATCTTTAAAAAAATGCTTCTGAAGAATAGAATAATTCAAGTAAAAATAAATTTCGAAATTTCGAAAAAACATTTCATACAGCGATATCGTTGATCGAACATTGTAAGAAATGGCGCATGTTTTATCGGCACTTCTACGAAACAGTGACGCGTTATCCATATATCATTGTTACGTAATATATGTGATAATCATAACTAGTAAACAAAACAATGAAATTCGATATTTGGCGAATGCTTTTCGAATGTTATCGTTCGATCACATAACACGAATATGAACACAAATAAAATTATTTTTATTTTCATTTCATTCATGTAATTGTGTTAAAAATTATATTTCATCGTGTATTTGTATTTTTTGGATCTTTAAACATTGTTAATTACTTGTTAACTCTGCATTAAATCTTGATAATATCTGTTTTTTTGAACGAAGTAATTTTTAAAAATTAATTAGAATATAATATCAAGAATTTTCAGTCACGTTATATCGTTATCAAGACTTTTTACAACTTGAGCCGAATGTAAAGAAATATTTTTTTGACATACGTATCTGTACAAGTTTTGCAATATATATTGATAATTAAGGATTATGTTTGAGACATTAAGCTCTATTTATATCGAGTATTCTTTGTCGTTTTATCTGTGACAAACAAACGTGCGTTCGATACTAAATCACGTATATGTCGTTGATAAAATTACTTTCTCCGATTTCTGTGAATTATTTAACAAATAGTTTCGATGACTAATTGGAATATTGAACATCGAATACTGAACACGATTCTGAATACAAATTAGAGGAGCGCTCATGCTTCATTTAAATACGCGGTTTCAAATATTTATGACATCGTCTATGGGTCGTTTCAAAAGCGGATACACAAGACAGGATCACAAATCATCAAAAATATCATCGTCTTTCCAATTAAATCTTTCAGCATCACTGCTTGTTTATGTAACAGTTTATTTGCAATTTCTTTTTTGCAATCAATTTACATGATTGATTCTTATTCTATTATAATGTGATTTGAGACAGAGAATTTTATAAATCTGCTTAATATTTTCTTCTCCCAGAGAAGATCCTGTAATTTTTTATACGTTCGACAATTAATGCAACATATTGGTCAAAGTATCAAGATATTAAAATAATAAAATACCAAAGTATCGAAACATAATTCTCGTATCGAAAATTCTCAAATAATTGGAATATCTAAAATTAAATACGAATCGAATTATGAATATTCTTTGGCATTTCGAAATCTTAATTCTTGGAGAAACATTCTTCCTACGATACGTATTTTAACGTAAACATAAAAACATATTTCTCGACCTACCGTAAAAAAACTGGCTCGAAGGCAATTTGCATACGAATCGAAACTTTTGAATTTGTGAAATTTTCCTCTCGACGATCAATCGATCGTTCGATCACGCGTATATATGTGTGATTCGCATACTTATCTGTTGAACCGTGCAAGAGAAATAGATGACGATGGCTCGCCTATTTATAAGTGTGACGGAGGCACCTGCCTCCGTTCGTTCACGATAGCCGCCATTGAAATTTTTCTATTTTTCTCGCAAAAATTCGAACCAATCGAAATATTTTTCAAAGACAAATCGCTAGTATTACGATCGAGAAGGACTCTCGAGATCTTTCTCTAGAAACCTGTAGTTTTCGGGAACTTGAATGATTTGTGAATGAAATCCATACTCCGGTCCTCTGTTGGCACGCGATGTGTTTTGACGATATTACGTGATGCGATTCTACCCAATTGTTTATTGCTTGCTCCAGAAAGTAATTTATTTTTGAACACGTTTCTTATATTTTGGGAAGTTCTCGACCCTTTGAATTATACGAATGTTCGAATATAACGAGGGAAATCTATTTTATTCGTTTGTGAATACGATTTTATTATAATTTTATTATCGTATAATTAATTATGTGTATCTAAGAGAAAATATATGTATGTAAACGAGAAAATATTTTTTTAAGAGAAAATATTTCTTTTCGATTGGAAATTAAATATTCTTTGTGATGGATTTAATGGTAAATTATTCAAAATATTCAACATTATTATTTAGTAATATGAAAAATAACGAGTAAATTCCGATAGAAAGTGAAGTTTCTATATTATGTAATAATGAAAAAAAAAAATGAAGTTTTTATATCTCTGACCGAGTAGCTGAAAATAGTATTTTGTAAATATTCATTCATAATGTTACAATATAAAGAAACAAAAAAACAATACAAATCGCGAATATGATTTATCATTTTAAGCCATCGGAAAGAGAAATAA